ATTCAAAATTAAAATCTTTTTAATGCATTAAAAACTAGACTCGATAAGCTTTCTAACCATATATGGCCCATCTTGTGAATCGTTGTGAATTAATTATAACCATTTTTGCAATCCACATCATATGCTGCTGCCAAACAGCTTGTATATCTTCTAATAAAAATTACGTATTTATTCATAGTAAGCTCCAAATTCAATTCCGCTTGTTTTGTTGAAAAGTAGACTCAATATGCTTTCCAAACATATATGGTTTAATCAATAATTACTTGTATAAAAATTAAGATAATTTTTGAAATTCAACCATGATGCTATAACTTACAGGCCGTATATCCGTAAGTAAAAATTAGATAACTCTTCATAGAAAACTCGGATTTAACTTTCATTTATTTCATTAGAAAGTAGATCAACATGCTTTCCAATGATTTGTAATAATCATAGAAATAATCTATTCATTAATACAAAATTCTATTTTAATTTATTATTGCAAATCATAGTATCTCATCCAAAACAAAGTTTTTCTTTCAATCTTTAAAAACTCAAATCCCCACTTTCAGCTTTTAAACTCCATTCAATAGTCATCAATAAATCTCAAGAATATGAAATAAATAAAGCCCAGTAATTTACCTAAATAGATTATAAAGATTAATGAAAGATTTCATAATTTTTTTTTATTTTTCTCTCAAAACTTTAACTCCATATAATAGCAATCAATATGATATTTTTTTTTAAATAAAAAGAGAGCATATACTCACTTTAGGAGATTAACTTGATTATAGCTTTTGATTTTGAATCACCAACTTAATTTTTCATATTCTCTAACACTAAAAAAAATGAGAAAGAAGAACTTTTTTTTTTATTTCTTCATAACTAGTTTTTCTTTCATTTAATACTTCAATTTATTTTTTTTTACTAATTAGTTTTTTAACAAACTGATGAACTTTAATATTAATTTAGTGTAATTATCATTTGGGCTAGGGTATTACAAACATATGGTCTTTAAAGCTGTGAAAAGCCACAAATTTTCTTTTTTTTTTTTTCACTTGAAACTACTAAAAATTAAACTTGTCACGAATTAAGAGTGCAAGCTATAAATTTTCCTTATTGCCCTTTTTTTTAAATTTATTTTCTTATTATACAACTTTGGTTTTAGCATGAAGGACTGAGAATTGGGCATGAACCAAGCCCATCACTCATATGGGCAAAAGACCCCAATTTGTCACAAAATCTCCTTCTACGTCTAGCAATTGGCTGCCAATAGCCCCTCATCCATTCAACTATACCCACACCAGAGACCACTCGTTGTCCCTTTCAATCCTCCCATAAACCAGCCCCAACGACAGGGAGTGGAACATATTGGGGGGGGGGGGGGGGGGGGGGCGGGTGGGTGACTGGACCAAAATATCCCTATACTAACACGAAAAAAATATTGTTAAAATATCATTGGAAATCCAATCTCAAAGCCTCATTGGTTACATAGGATTGATGCGGAAGATAAATTCGTCTGCTAATTATCTTATCCTTTTGTATATGTGATATCCAATAATTTTGCTCTTTTGTCACATTACGAATCAATTGCCTCCTTATATATGCGTTACTAAAAGTCTGTTTGACACACTTCTAACTTCTTTACAGTACTAACGCTCAGCGTCACTTTGGTCAGTCCATTTCAGAGTTTATTCAAGGGTCTTAAAGAACCCAATTCAAAATTGGTAATGGCTCTACAAGCTACTGCTTTGGTTCCTGCTACTTTCTCTGTAACCAAAGAGGTTTGTTTTTGAGTATTGTAGTGATGAAATGGATGTTGTTTTTGCAGTTTCAATTTGGGGTTTGACATTTTTGGGTGTTAATTGTTTTGCAGGGAAAGTCTAGTGCATCTTTCAAGGATTCAGATCTCTTTGGAATTTCTCTCTCAGGCCATGTCAAAGCTAACTTCAGCTCTTCTGCATTAAGATGCAAGGTAGTTTACAAAACTTTTGTTGTCTTTGTTCTTGTTTTGTATTTTTCATGTTTATTTGTAAAATTATGTAAGAAGAAATATTGAAAGTACATGTTCAGTCATATTTAATGAAAATTATGATTTAATAGGTTGGGATTCATTGACAGGGGTTGTACTGTGGGTATCTCAGCATAGTCAAATTGAATATTGAAGATATGTTGTTTTGCTGTTTCTGTTCTTTAAATTGGACAACATTGCTGTTTTTGCTTGTAATTGAACTTTTTTTTACCCATTATAGAGGGAATTCAACCAAAGAACCGGAGCTGTGAGAGCCCAAACAACAGCTACTGCTACTCCTGCAATCGACAGACCTGCAATGGATGGAAAGAAAACTCTAAGAAAGGGTAGTGTTATCATCACTGGTGCCTCCTCTGGATTGGGTTTAGCCACAGCTAAGGCCCTGGCTGAAACTGGGAAATGGCATGTTATCATGGCCTGCAGGGACTTTCTCAAGGCTGAGAGAGCTGCAAAGTCTGCTGGCATGTCTAAAGAAAACTACACAATTATGCACTTAGATCTTGCCTCGTTGGACAGTGTCCGTCAATTTGTGGACAGTTACAAGCGATCAGGCAGGCCTCTTGATGTGCTTGTTTGCAATGCTGCTGTTTACCAGCCAACTGCTAAGGAACCCTCTTTCACTGCTGAAGGATTTGAGCTTAGCGTGGGAATTAACCATCTTGGTCACTTCCTTCTTTCCCGTTTATTGCTTGATGATCTGAAGCAATCTGATTATCCATCAAAGCGTCTCATTATTGTTGGTTCTATTACAGGTACTTTACTACCAATGCGTTCAGAATGAGCATTTTATAGAACATTGTGATATTGATGATCTAACTTGGTGTTGTTTACATACAATGAATCAGGAAACACGAATACCTTGGCTGGAAATGTACCTCCAAAGGCCAACCTTGGGGATCTAAGGGGACTTACAGGGGGACTAAATGGACTAAACAGCTCTACAATGATTGATGGTGGAGAATTTGATGGTGCCAAGGCCTACAAGGACAGCAAAGTCTGTAATATGCTCACTATGCAAGAATTCCACAGGCGATTCCATGAGGAAACTGGCATCACATTTGCTTCCCTGTATCCAGGTTGCATAGCTACCACCGGCTTGTTCAGGGAGCACATTCCCTTGTTCAGACTCCTCTTCCCTCCATTCCAGAAGTACATCACCAAGGGCTTTGTCTCTGAAGAGGAAGCTGGAAAAAGACTTGCTCAGGTATAAACAAAGACCAAGACAGTTAACAATCATAGTGATCTTGTATATTGCATGAGCTATGTTTTATGTGTTGTGAGTTAACACTATTTTATTGCTTCTAATGTAGGTTGTGAGTGATCCTAGCTTGATGAAATCCGGTGTTTACTGGAGCTGGAACAAGGATTCGGCTTCATTTGAGAACCAGTTGTCTGCTGAAGCCAGTGATCAGGAGAAAGCGCGCAAAATCTGGGAGCTCAGTGAGAAACTTGTTGGCTTGGCCTAATTTAGAGCCTTAAGGCGCTTCACTTAATCTTTGCTTGCGGGAGAGCTTTAATATTGGCGAATGTCTGATACATTGAATGAGTGTAGATTTTGGACTCAGATGGTGTGCTGTTGTAAACATCCTTCGTTTGTAGATGTAGCTGACTTTGTGAGTTACAGTTGACAATAAAATTACTCACCCTGGTTGCAAATCTCAAATTACTCTCGCATTGTCAGTAAGAAAATAAAAAGAAAGAAAAAAAAAACGTGGCTCAATTTTTTAAACAATTTCTGATGTTTTAATCATGCTACATTGCCTCTCCATGGGGCAAGTGGTTGAAGCCAACTTGTTAATGAATGAAGAAACATGGCAAGCATTCCCTTGAGTCAAATTGCCACTAATAGCTAATAGTTGCACGGACTGTTGGTAGAGTTTTAGAATTTTAATTTCAACGATCAGGTTTAAATTTTGACAATCTCATATACGATAACAACAAATTGCAAATTGCTACTGATACGGAAAATTTGATGAGAAGATGACGAGGTAGAATTGTGCAGGATGTTTAATGAGAAATGGTATCTGAGAAATGTCACTGAAAAGACAGCATTGCTAAGGACATCATAGATTTGATTACGACCGAAACTTTTAAAGGATGAAAAGGCCGTTAAGGATAGTGAGACAAGTGACAATCTTTTTAGTTTCAGCCATTGGTATGCTTCATCCTCAACTGCAAGCATGGATATAGTACCAACTTTAAATTGAATGATGGACAGAAAACAACAAATAGAATTTTCTTACAATTGAATATGCTTTGAAATACGAGGGCTTTTGGTAGGAAATTCATTCTTTTTTTTTTTTGGTCTTTATTACTAGACCAATAAGCTGCAGGCAGGAAATTCATTGTGTTATCTAGTTTGCTACCTCAAATTTGGAGGACAATCAAACTCAAAGTTTGTCACCTCTTCTATATATAGTTATATTTTTAAAGGAAACCAAAAGGTGGGAGTCCATAGACCACACTAGTGAAACAAGGATTTTTCTGATTGGATTTTAATTTTTAGTCAATGTTGAAAAAGAGAAATGTTTCTTTCAACAAGGAGTTGATGATATGAGATATATTTAGATGTAATCTACTACTGTTCCCAAAAAAAAAAATAGTTTTTTTGAAAAATTAGTTGATGGTTTAGAAAAAAAAAAGGACTTTAATTGTCTTTTTGTTGGATATGTCAATCTCACTTGCCAAAGTATATTTATATTTATATAAGGTGAGGAAAATTTTGGAAACGTTGGTAACTATCCCTAATGTGGTTCATGTTAAGCACAACTTTGCTTTCTAGTTACCTTAGCAGCAATTGATCCAAATCCAAAATGGAAGATAATGTATAAAGTAAAAAACAAGCATATATGCCTCCAAGACCGTAAAACTTTATCAATTTATGACGAATCCATAACTCAAATGTAAGAAACTGATTTCATCAAAATCCTACCCCCAACAACAGCAATTTGATGAGGGTAGCTTCTAGCCAGTTAAATAGTCTTCATTTCTATGCATCATGTTGATTCTCAAGAAACTTTTTAGCAATTTGAGCAGCGGCTGCGAATAGTTGGATATTAGGCTTCGGATCCTTAGCTTCAAACTCTTTCTTGACAGCATAAAAAATTTTAGATTCGATGATGCTTGAAGTCATGTTTTTCTCTATAATATCAAATCGATCAATTTGAACTGAGCAACCAATTGCTAGACATCCACCTTGCAAGCTTTGTGCCACTTTCACCCTCTTTTGGTCATCAATCACAGTGAATCTCTCTGTGTAGCTTGAATTCCCTGATTCATTGAAACTATCCATGGTCATCTCAGACCATCAAAACATGGTTTTTAAAGGGTATTTTTTTTTATATCAAGTTTAACTACCTGGAACAAAAGTGAGTTTGAGAACAGTGCCAACTCCACCATCACCTTTCAAAACATCAATGCTTTGGATGACATTTTTGAGCTGTTCTGCAGCAAGTTTTGAGATTCCAAGGTTTCTGTAAAGCAGCCAAACTTACTTGCTGGCACATTCAATTCAATCTCATTGGTAAGCTGCTTCAATTCCTGAGAATTAACTCCAATGTAGCAAGCAAAAAGAACAAAGAAAACGAAAGAAATTTGCTTCACCATTTTTGCAATTTTACTTTTTTTGCTTGCCCTAGCCTTGGAATGATTTTTCTGATTTGTCTAAAGCTGCAATTACCAGGGTTTATATAGAGCTTAGAAATGAGGCAGGATCGTGCATTAAAGAGATTTGATAACGAATTAATGCTACAATTGAATGGTTCATGCTAATAAATGTTAGATCGGCTGCAATTTTGTGCAAGAATCCTGGGTGTCATAAAAATGGTTAAAAGTTTGACTTAATCACCAGATTTTTTATTTCATTTCGAAAAAATGTTCGTCAAAATTCATGAATGCTAGCTTTTTTCCTGACTGGTTTCCTTTTCTTAGTACATCTTCTTCCCTTTACCATTGTATTTACTAACAAATCAAGTCAACAATTGCGAATAACAATTGGAATCAAAGAAAGAAAGAAAGAAAAAAAAAGACTTCCTTAAAATAACATTGTATTTATGAATAAGTTTACCTATACCATAAATTGGTAGATCTCACACTTAAATTATTCAATGAAATTTTGTCACATCAAAAGAGGCAAATATTTGGAAAAAAAATATAGGGCCAATTAACATTACTTGTTTATTAGAGAAAATAAAGAACACTCTTGACTAATGTCTTCTAGTCTCTTTTCACGTTCAATTCTTATATTTTGTGTTTTTTAATTTCCTCAACTCAATTATCTAATAATAAAATTATCAAGCACTCGAATTTTTTTTTTTATATTTAAAATTATTAAAAATTCAACTTAATCACTAAAATATAAAATATAAAATTTTTCTAACATATCACATAATTATTGACATCGAACATTTTGCTCCAAGAAAATGCATGTATTTCTAAGTTGCTTCCAAATTTCCTTTCTTTCAAATTAAAAAAATAAAAATAAAAATAAAACTAAAGCCGAAACCTTATCAGCCCATATCTAGCTTCCTAAAATTTTGGACATGGGCACTCAAGGAGCCTCAATTCTTTGCACTCCAAACCCAGCCCATTTATGAAAAGGCATAGTCTGGTTTTAACTAGGGTTTATCAAAGCTAAAAATCTTCCAGTTTTCTTCTGTTTGTTCCGGCAGCCAAAAACACAAAAAAGCTGAACTCTTTCAATTTTCTTTGTTAAACAATGGGGAAGAAACGAAAACACAGCGAAACTCAGACAGTTGAACTAACAAAGAAAGATGAAGGAGCACCAGAGAGACCAAAAAGGACACTTTTGGGTTGGAAAGACAAGGAAGAAGTTCAGAAACTAACTGGGTCTAACCCTGATTCTTCCCACGTTTTTAGAAACAAGGAAAAAGTTATGGTAACATGTTCACGCCGCATTAATTACAGGTTTGTTGGAGAAAAATGTTTTTTTTTTTTTTTTTAAAATTTTCTTTGCCTGAATGTTTGGTGGACTTTGTTTTTGATATGGGTTAATGTTTTTTCTTTGTTTTGGTTGTTGTAGGTATAGGCATTTGATGTTGAACGTGGTTTCACTTTTGCCTCATTGTAAGAAGGATAATAAGGTTGAATCAAGGAGTAGTAAGGGGGCTACCTTGAATGAGCTTATTGAGTTGAGGGGTTGTTCTTCCTGTCTGTTTTTTGAGGTAAATATTTAAGCTTTGTTCTTTTTCTTTAAGCAAAATTAAAGTGTAGCCAATTTTGATGCACTGTTAGTTAGAAATATCAAGTTTCATGAGCTGCCAAAGTTTGAGTCACTAAGAGTGTATAGAATTATAAACCTTAGGTCAAATGTAACCCTTTTGAAATGGTAGTTAAATTTATTTATGTACAACTCCTTTTGTTTATGCCAGTGTAGGAAACATCAGGATCTTTATCTATGGATGGCAAAGTGTCCCAGTGGTCCATCTGTGAAATTTTTGGTTAATGCCGGTAATATTTCTCATTTAATTTCTTAAAATGCACTATTATGACTTTGACCCTATTATATACTTGAGTTTCTTGATGTTGTTTTGTTACTATTGCAGCATGGTGATTTTCATGGTTTTTGGTGGCTTAATGAATTTTGTTCATTTCAGTGCATACAATGGAAGAACTGAAGCTCACTGGAAATCATTTGAAAGGTTCACGTCCTTTGTTGACTTTCTCGGGTAATTTCGAAAAAGATGCTCATTGGAAGCTTCTGAAGGAGATGATCATACAGGTTATTGATGTTTTTTCTCTATTTAAATGAATGTTCTTTTGCTATTTATGTTTTTAACACATGGATGAAACATGTACTTACTCTTTGAATCAACTCATTTGAGTTTTTTCCACCATTTTTGGGCCTGTAGCATTGTAAATTCAAATTCTCTCTGATAATACGTGATATAAATAATAGACGTTTTTATACAATTTTGTTTGGACTGTTCCTCTGTTCATGCATGTCCTCTATAAATGCTTTTGCTTTCTGGCTTGTGAAATGATGTGAAGGATGTTTGATATAATTGCTTTTTAGGCTGGTTCCTTTCTGTTTTCTTTTGTGTCACTGAGATAAAGTTATAACAGTTATTTGCTCACCAAAGTGTTGAGATTCAGTTTCCTGGTTTTCTGGATGTTTCACTTAAACATAATCTGGGGTGAAAATGAGGATATTCACTGACACTTTCTTTTCTATTGTTTTCTGTCAGATATTTGGAACTCCAAAGGAGCACAGGAAATCTAAACCTTATCATGATCATGTCTTTGTTTTCTCCATTGTTGATGACCACATATGGTTCCGCAATTACCAGGTTTGCGAAGTATATGCTTTTCGTAATTTGTGTGCAACATATTTGCCGTTAGTACAAATCAGCATGCTTGTGTGATTTCATGCATTTGCATCTTCTTTATTTGTTAATGGAATGAGCAGAATAAGTTTGTGTGATTTCATGCATTTGCATCTTCTTTATTTGTTAATGGATGGATTAACTTTTGGCTTCAACGAACACATCTGTTTCCTAATGCAGATTTCATATCTTTGCATCTTTGTTATCTGATGATGAATGAATTAACTATTGAATTCACTCATAAAATTGCTGTTTTCTAATGCAGATATCTGTTCCTCATAATGAATCAGACAAAATGGTTCGAGGGGGACTTGATAAAATGACCCTTGTTGAGGTATGCAGCGATATATGCTTTCTTATTTATATAATGTGATTTTCTAGTACTTGTGATGCTAATGTAATTCGTCATACCTGTTCTGTACAGGTTGGTCCTAGATTTTGTTTGAATCCGATCAAGATATTTGCTGGCAGCTTTGGAGGTCCAACACTATATGAGAATCCCTACTATGTATCACCAAACCAGGTTAGAGGATTTAACTTTTAATCTTGATTTCAATGGTGTAAGTAATGTCTGGTTAATGAGATTTTTATAGATCCTGTTAAAGTTGGGTAAGAGTCATGTTCCTCTTTTACAGATTTAATAATTATTAACAATATGTGCCCTCTTTCACAAAATTTGTAGATTCGAGCATTAGAGAAACGGCAGAAGGCTGGGAAGTACGCGAAGAAAGTTAAAGCGAAGACAAGGAGGAAAATGCACGAATTATCTAATCCATTGGAGCCTGATGAATTTGCTGATATGTGGAGAGAATGATGCGTCTCAGGATCCTTTTTTCTTTTTGCAAAAAAGAATCATCATCTACTAAAATTGTTTTATATCCAGTGTGAAACTGCAAATTTTGGTTAATTCTCTCAACTTTTCATTTTGTCCCTGTGAGAATTTGGTTAGATCAATGGATCGGTTATACAAAATGAATCAAAATGAGATATTTTTAGTATCATCTACATTCTCTTCTTGAGTTAATCATTTATCAAATGCAGAAATGCTGCGATTGTTAAAGCAAAACTCCATCGGTACCCTGATTTACTTGGTTCCTGAGATCGTTGAACATTGTTTAGTCACCGAGCAGTTAATTACAAAGATGCCAGCTGCTATCAGCCATAATCACACTTAAAAGTATGGTTGTAGACCATTCTTAAATCCACTTACCGGCACTAGATAATCAAGATGCTTATGATCTAGTTGGCTATGATTAATGCAGAACATTCACAAGGATTCACTTCAACATCAACCTGGGGAGCACAAGTATACAATTGAAAAGGCAATTTTTTACAGCAAAAACAATTGGGTATTCTTTCATTTATTTATTTATTTTTTTCAGTACAAGAACATAAGATTTTGATCCGCAGCCTTACACCCCGGCCATTCAAGTTAACCCAGGATGCAATATCAGATATTATTGCGATTAATAAACTATCCTGACAAATGAAGAAAGTAGAGTACTCAAAAAAATTTGCTGTAATCAGTAAACAGCCGGTTCTCAAGGCAACCTGTCTGAAAATGAGACAATCGGTGGTCTTGTTGGATACCCACAAGAAAGAGTCCCGTGTATGCTGCACAAGGGCCAATATCAACACTATTGAAACTAAGATATCTCATCAAAGAAGCAGAACTGCATGCGTATCAAAAATACTCAATTCCTTGACATGATAGGCTTCCATGTAATACCAATGTTACTAGATGCCAAACATTTTCAAAGAATTCAACGTTCTATGATGACGAGAAAAAGTTAGCCAAAAGCCAGCCTTTCGACAGTCGTGATCAAACTTCTTCAGTATGATGACGTCATCGTCATCGTCGTCTTCGACGTCGAATTAAGTGGCATGGTGGCGCTGTTGGTTTTCCGGGTCGGGTTTCGGGTGAGGGTCGGGCATTGCTAGAAATTATAATACAAAGTAAGATTGAGGACTGAAAGAGCATTACTGCCCGTAGTCAATGCAGTCAACCAGTCAAGCGTTTTTATTTTTTATTACATTGCACATATTTCCTAATATTTTTTACTTTTTTTTTCCCTTCCAACATCCTTTTTTTTTTTTTTTTATAATTTATAAGGAATTTCAATTTGATAAATTCATTACTTAATTTATTAAGACTACAAATTGAAGAAGGGGATTTGAATATAAATGTTGAAATTAATCTATTTTGATTGTAGCTTAAAATTTTGAGTTTTCATTTTTTGATTGCTTTTGTTTTATGATACCACTTAAAAGTTTAATTGGTCTTTTAACAAACGGATCATAGTTTGGGATAAGAGGGAAGAACAAAATGTATTAAAATTTGAATATTAAATTTATAAGATGTCATATCGTTAAAGTAATTATATAAATTAATTGAATTAAAATTTAAAATTTAAATTTTAAGAATTATATTTTATACATTACAAGTTAAGTTTTTAATTTTATAAACGAGATTAAAAACTACTACATATCTAATTTTTTAATTAAAGTTTTAATATATATTAAAATATATGCATCACTTGTAATAATCTAAAAACTTTAGAGTGAATTGGATAATTGTTCAAAATTTAATTGGTTTAATTTAATAATGAACACATTTATCATATCAATGTAGTGAAAAGTGGTTACTAAATAGGTACTTACTTTGCCCTTAAATTTCTACTTGTGCCAAACCAAAGAGACAAAGTAGCTAATTTTGCTTAAGTCTCATCATATATATTGTATTAAGAGAGGTGCTAAATGCATTCTAGCCTTTTTTCTTTACAACCTTACTCCTTTTTTTTTTTTTAATTTTTTATAAATAAAATTATTTAATTATCCTTTTTCCTTCACACAAGTTTTCAGAAATAGAATTTTTAAAAAGTCATATAACTTTTCAAAAATAAAATTTTGAAATATTATAAATTTTTCAAAAATAAATTTTTTGAAAGTCAAATGACTTTTCGAAAACCTATTTTTAAGAGGTGGGATAATGAAAATTTAAGAAACATTTCAAGTAACATTTTCACTATCTCATTTTTTGGAAATGAATTTTTGAAAAACTATATGATTTTCAAAAAATTATTTTTTAAAAGGTTTATGATTTTTTTAGAAATTAAAAATTTTTAAAAAAATTGGAATATAAAGAGAAAAATGGGTGTGCAATTAGCACCTCCTTTGTATTAATTATAAAGCTATACATTTGTTTTTGCCGATCAAAGTAATGTACCAACAAGATGAGATTGCTCCATATTTGTTTCTTTAATTTCATAGGTTTTTGTGGGCAGACTAGATGAAATTGATTCTGGCTTAGATGTCGATGCCCTTCTAGATGTTAGCAAATGAATTGTTTGAATTTAAAATTTAGTGCCACTTATAACTTTTCCTAGAAAGATAGAAATGGCCAAAATGAATTTGCTTCAATTTTCTTCTTGTCGTAGTAATTGGGCGGAGTGATTGACCCGCTAACAGATTGAAAATAAGCATTTGCTTGATTTTCTTTTTCGTATAAATTGGTATAGAGTAATAGACGGGCAAAAATATAATTGGGTCCCACTCATTTGCTAATGATAATTATGTGTTAATTTGATAATGTTATTGTGGTTGAAAAAATTCGATTAAAAAAAATGTTTGAAAAGTATTAAAAAAATTATGATTTAAATATTTTAAAGAGTTTATATTTGATATATTGTTAATGTATAAATTTTATATATTAATGAGTAAATATTAATCTTTAAAATAAATATAAAAAAATAAATTTAATTTATTGATAATATATAAAATTTGAGTCAAGTGTTTAGTTTAATATTTAAGGCATGGATCTAATCTGACTCATTCTAATAATTATATGTTATAAACAAATAATTATAATTTAAATAAAGAAAGGATCAAGTTATACTAAAAAAATTTTACATTTTTTATATCTTCTTTTAACTATTAATTTTAATAGATATAATAGATGAGATAGACAAATAAAAACGTAGTTTAATCTCATCCCTTAAATCTATTAAAATTAATAATTAAAAAAATGTAAAACTAAAAAATCTTATACTAGTGTAAGTTAATAAATATGCTTAATAAAAATAAGTAATGTTAATCCTTAATAAGTTAATAAATATGCTTAATAATTTTATACTAGTGTAAGTTAATAAATACGTTTAATAAGTTAAGAAAAATTTTATATTAGTGTAAGTTAATCCTTTTCTATATAAATATGCTTAATTAATAAATAAGTAATGTTAAGGATTTGCTAATTATTAATAAAGATAAAGAAGTAAAAAAAAAATACACTAAAGAGTAAAATAAATAAAACAAAAACTAATCATTAGATTAATAAAATTTTCAATCTTACCTAACAAATTAAAATTCAAGTCATTGATGGCTTGGGATGGCGGTCGTTCTTCATCTTTGAAAATGTTCACCATCTACATCGTCACCATCACCATCTCTTCTCCTCATATATACTTGAAGAGCGTCATTCAGTCCAAAACCAGTATCACTCAAGCTCTCATCTATCTCATTTGTCTCCCACCTTTCTCAAGTACACATTTGGTCTCTAAGGTAAAATTATTCTTGTCTTTGTTATTTTTTTAATTTATTTTCATGTATAATGTTATCATGTTTTTAATTATCAATTTAAAATTTCTATTTTTTTTTATTTCTTGTCACAAATTTTCATTAGCTTGCAGGAGTTGATTTCTTTGCTGTATTTTTTTTAAGTTTACAAAGGTTTGTTTCAGGAGTTGATTTGTAATCTTGTGTAGTTAGAATTTAGATTAAAGTTTAAACTTAAAATCGAAGGATGCTGTAAGTTAAAGTGACTAAAGTGTTGGTAATTTGCTTGAATTTTAGATTGAATTGAAGGATGCTGTGTTAGATTTTAGTGTGATTTGCTCATTATTTGAAATGATTATCATTTCAATTTTGGCTTGAAAAAGAAATTTTAATTTGACGGTATGATTGGGCCTTGACTCTATTTTTTTAATTAGGGTCGAACTTGAGCAAAAATCGAAATTCAAATGATTGTATCAGATTGAGTCTAGTGCAAGCATTTGAACTGTTAATATCATGCCTATGCTCCACCAATAGACGTGTCTATTTTATAGTTTAGAGTCCCATTAATGAATGCTAATAAGAATAGATTAAAAATTATTCAATTATTATTTTAGGAAAGTTTTTACGTTTAATGAATTACTTATACTAAATTAAAAAAAAATGTTTTCTTTCGTTAAATGACACCTTAATTAACATTTTTCTACATTTATATATTTTGCATTGTTAACACCAAAATTAATTAGTTTTAGCCAATATTTTCTTTTAAGCTTCTACAGCAAAATTACTACCACCTACCACTGCACTTGTTCATTAAGGATTGCTCTAATTTTACGATAACATTTCGTTTTATATTATTGGATTGCAATGTTTCTTCCACCTAATCAAGGAACCCTGTACAATAATATAAGATTTATAATATATGTTTAAAAGTTAAAAAAAATAAAAAAAATACAAATGTAATTGTCTATAATGCTTGATTTATTAATTATAAAGTCAAGTTTTCAACATTTTAATTCTTTAAAAATATTTTTTATTTTGTAGCAAATGTAATTTTTATTTTTTACTTTTGCAAAAAAAATTAATAATAACAATCAAACAAAATTTTAATTGTTTTAAGTGGTAAAATAGGATAAGCTCCGTATAAAAGCCTAGATTTGGTCGGGGTATGCATATATATTCTCTGTCTTGTTCCAAAAAAAAAATCTTAATTTTTGTTCATAAATTTCAGTTATTAAATTGCAGGTAATTAATAACAAATTTCTAGTTAATGAATTAAAAATTTTCTTCTGAAAGAGTACACATAATAAATAACAAATTAATTTTGGTGAAATGATAATTGTGATTACTTATTGACGTATAATATATATGTATATATATATATTTTACACAGTGTAAAATTTTTTAATTTTATATATTTACATAAAGTCAATATTTTTTTTATACAATGCAAAACATTTTAGTTTTATATATTTTTTTAACCTTTGATTTTAATAAATCTAGGGGACAAAAGAGACAACTAAAAATAGAAAAAATGGTTTAATCTCATCTTTTGGATATATTAAAATTAATGGTTAAGAAATTGTATAAAACTAAAAAAATTTTACGCTAAATAAGTTGATCCCTCCTTTATATATAATTATATATCTTTTTAATTGCAACAAAATAATGGGAGAAATTAACAATAATATGTCTAACTTTTAAAGTGCTAAAATTTTAATTCAAGTGATTATGATTCAATTTTTAATATTTTCATATAAAAAACCAGTTTAACTATTCTAGTTTCATTTAAAAATGAAAATTTGTTATGTATGATTAACAATGTGGAAAGTGTTGCTAATGGCTTAATGTAATAGTTTTTTCTTATTAAAAAAAAGGTGCGTTCTACTTTCTCTTCGTGGAGAGTATAAATACAAATGTACAACTAGCCGTAAGCAGAATTCTTTGATCTTGGCTTCTGTACAATATGCCTTGACGTTTTGTTATTAATTTTTTTCATTTAATGATATTATTAAATTGTTCTACATTATTTTAGATGCCTTGTCGGTCAATCTAGATTTTTCTTGAAGAGCTCTTATTCAGTGGTTGTTCCAATGGATCACAAATCTTCCTTGTCAATTCCTCGACATTTTTATCATGTATTCTTAAGTTTTAGAGGTGTAGATACACGTAAAAATTTTACAGATCACCTTTACATGGCTTTAGTGCAAGTAGGGATTCGTACCTTTAGAGATGCTGATGAAATTGAGAGAGGAGAAAATATATGCAATGAAATCGGAAAAGTAATATTCCATCAATCAAAAATATCTATCATTGTTTTTTCAAAAGATTATGCTTCATCAAAATGGTGTCTTAATGAACTAGTGAAGATAATGGAACATAGGAAATCCTCCCAATATAATGTTTTGCCAGTTTTTTATGATGT